GAATGAAATGAGTTGAGCCGTAAAGAGGAAATAGACAAATGGGCAACACTGTGTTCAAAACGCAGCAACAAGGATGTCCAGGCCAGCTAGGTCCAGACAGCAGAAGAACCGGAAGTAATGTAAATGTCCAACAACAGGGGATCGGTTCATTAACTGCAATCCATCATGCAATGGCCAAGCCCTCTTTTATGGGTTGATTCGTATCTCCCCAAAGAAGTTACGTCAGAGTCCTCACCCCCAGGACCTCAGAAGGTGACCTGACTTGGAGATAGGGTCTTTAGAGAGGTAATCAATTTTTTTTTCCTTTTTGTCTTTTTTCGTAACCGGTAATGGGATCGCAACCCTCGGTGTCGCGCCCGCACCGCGCTCAACCAGTGAGCGGACCTAACCGGTAATGGGATCGCAACCCTCGGTGCCGCGCCCGCACCGCGCTCAACCAGTGAGCGGACCGGTCTCTATATGGGATCCAAACCCTCGGCGGGAGCGCCGCCGCGCTCCCAAGCGCCACACTCTACTGAGTGCACCACCGGGCCGGCCCAAGAGAGGTAATCAATTTTTAAAAATTAGTTGATTAATTTTTTATTTTATTTTATTAATATTATTTTTTTACATTCTAGGATGTTGTTGCAGAGCGGGGGAGAGGGGAAAGGGGGAGGAAATGGGATGGAAGGAGAAAGGAGGGGGAGCGGGATTGAGGTCTGTGGCACCCTCTACATTCCCACAGGGGAGACTGGAGGGCTTCCAGCAGTGGCCTGGTCATTGCCGGGCTGGATGCAGATGTCAGGGGGGTGTGGCAGAAGCCCTTGTCCCCCACCACCCCAGCTCGGGAACCTGGGGCCCTTCTTGCTGCAGCTGGGTGGTCATTGCTTGGCTGGTTGCCCATGTTGGGGAGTCACAGCCAAGGCCCTCGGCCCCTCACTGCCCCAGCTCAGGAGAGCCCGGGATGCTTCCTGTGACAGCTTGGTGTTGGTCATTGGGCTGGCTGTGGGTGTGTGGGGGGACGTGGCTAAGGCCCTTGGCCCCCCACCACTCTGGCTCAGGGGTGCTTCCTGCGGTGGCTTGGTGGTCATCGCTGGCGTGGTTGCGTGTGTTGGGGGTGTGTGGCTGAGGCCATTGGCACTCACCCTTGGGACTGGTTGCAGGTGTCAGGGGGCATGGACAAAGCCCCCAGCCCTACCCCCTTTCTGGCTTGGTAGCCCAGGGGGCTTCCGGTCCTTCTAGGTGTTATAGGTGTTCTTTGGTGACATGAGACCTTTATTAGTTACTATCAAACTTTGTCTCTGGGTGTGGGTACTTTGTTTTTTCTTTCGGTTCTGTGTTGGATTATTTGCTGTTCCC